AGGAGAAAACAGTTCCATCTGCTGGCAATGTCATGGCGTCAGTTTTTTTGGATGCGCCCAGGAAAAGCAATCAACGGCAAGTATTATGCGAACTTATTGCAGCGCTTGAGTGATGAAATCAAGAAAAACCGGCCACATTTGGCGAAAAAGAAAGTGTTGTTTCATCAAGACAACGCACCAGTTCACACATCCGTTATTGCGATGGCCAAAATCAATGAGTTAAGGTTCAAATTGCTTCCTCATGCACCCTATTCGCTTGATTTAGCCCCCTCGGATTATTTTCTCTTTTCAAACTTAAAAAAATAGCTTGGTGATAAAAGATTTGCCAACAATGAAGAGGTGGAGTCTGCGGTTGATGGCTATTTTGAGTAGCTCGACAGTTCTCACTATAAACAGGGGATCGAAGCTATTGTGCATTGCTGGAAAATGTGTATCGAGCTAAAAAAAGACTATGTCGAAAAATAAAGATATGTTTTACCAAATTTTTTGTGTCTTTTTTGTTAGGTCGGGTACTTCTGGGACTACCCTCGTAGAATATTACATTTTCCAACAGGTAAGCTAGACATCAGTGTCAGATGCTACTAATTTCTTGTAACTAATTTGAATAATTACATCATAGACATTTAAAGAATATATGCAACAAGTTTGCTGAAAATTTCTCTATTTGCAAAATTATTTTAAAAATACATAAATTAATGAGTTAATAAAGGGCATGCAATATATTACTATATTACAATTTATATATCGATATAATTGATTTCCTTTGAATTCCTGTGTATATTATTTTATGTGTTTAGAAACATTATTCTGAGAAAAGATCCAGAAGATAAACCCGTAACATAACAGATTATATTTTTCTCCTATCTGTCATCGTAATTCATTGTTTTCACCAATTAAATGACTTTCAAACGCTCACATTTACATACAAACTTCATTTATTATGAATACTTTTGATTGGAATCGTTTCTCTTTCCTCATTTACCCCAGTTTTTCCATTGAGGATGAATTTTAATTAAATTGAATTTAAAAATAAATGAAAAAATTCATTTTTCCAACTAAACTTGTTTGGCCATTCGCAATCTAATCTAATTACTAATTTATAATAAAATTAGATGAAAGTACATTCTAAACTCTAGAACTACATCATTACAAATGCATTCTATTGATAATCAACTAAACAGTTATTGTATTATATAATAGTCAAATTTAATTTATTCCATTATATATAATTATTATATAATAATTAATTATCTTTTATCTAAATCGTAGCATGAAAATTACACTTTATTTACCGTTAAGTATCATAAAAGAATTTTAGCAGAGATAATATAAAACAAACATAATATAATTAATAATAATTTAATTATTCAGGTGAGTTAATTATATAATATTCTCATTATTATGTTTAATGGAATATTTTGTAAATGAACTGTTTTCAGATACCCGAACAGTAAAGTTTATAATTCTTTGAATATATAATAGGCCTATATAAATAAATATTCTATTTTAAAAATTAATAAATATTTAAAATGGAAGAAAACATTTTAAAATACAATAAAATATTTATATAACATTAGTTAATTAGCATTTATAATTGCGAGCACACATACTCGTTTTGCATTAAAATGAATAAAAACAAATAAAAATTTATTAAATATATACTGAGATATTGATAAAGTACTGTATATTAATGCAAAAAATAAACAAACTATTTTATAATTTAGCTTTTATAATTGCTCATTTATACCGTTACAATTATTTTTAAATCCAAAGTTAAATAGGCAATTTGAATTTAAATGTTTTTTTTTATGAAGTAGGAATAGATTACTGGAATTATTATTTACGTCTACACTTGAGAGCTTTAACAGTAGCAAGAATTTAATAATTATATAATAATTTTTATCAATATATTGTAAGAAATGGAATATTTTCTTTTCCATTTAAAACAGTTGTTAAAGGTATAGCTTAAAATAGAAATTATTATTGTTTTTACAGTCATTCTGTCCCGATATCATGCAACGTGACAGTTATATCAACGGCTCTTCGACTCGTATCGAATAGTGATGACTTTTCTCAAAGAATTAAAGTTTTATTTCCTGAACAAACGACAGAAGCCGTTATTTACGTTATTGTAAGTATTTTTTTAAATGGAAATTTGATTTATTTCTCGTCTTATAAGTTTAAATACAATTTTTTTCCTCCCTCGTAGGTGGTGGTTTTGTTTTATACAGTGATCATATTAACTGTTATTGTAACAAATCTTCATCGATTTAGAGATCCACAAAACTCACAAAATGGAGAAGATGTCCATTTTCATCAAATGATATCTCAGATTGATGACAAATCAAAAATGTATAAAACTTCGTCAAAAATTGTTAAAAATTTTCATCATGGAGTCAATCGAAACGTTTCTCTTGTGTGACGGTAAAGACGAGCATTCAAATATCTGCAATAAAAATTTTTACATTAACTTTTAAATCTTTATCACATGTTTAAATTAACTAGATTAAAGTGTAATTATATTAGATACGAATGTATTGTTATGAAATATAAATAAATGTTCAATTCTTTCTCCTTTTAACCAAAATATACATTGGCATAAGCCCATTTTGCCCTTATTAGAATATTTTAGCCTTGATGTATAGAAGGCTATTTTATCATCGTTTATATATAACTGACTATTCTTTCAAAGTTACAATAATGCATATCTTCGTATAGTCCTATAGTTGATGGGACTAAAGACAGCTAGTAATTGTATTTTAATTTTTTAGAAGATTTTTGTAGTGAAAATAAAATAAATTTTGATAAAACTACAAATGACTAAAGAAAAATTTGGAATATTATTATAAAAAATGCGGCTCTATATCGCTTCTATAATTTACGATACTTTGCAAACTTGAACAGATATAATTCATTTAAATTCTATAAAATTATAGAATTTTTTCATTATTTCATGTTATCTATTAACTTATGTTAAATTAAAACGTTAACATTTTCAGATATTAGCAAGAATCTAATTAAATTTTTAATTTTGTATACATACAGAACGTCCACTTAAACACTATACAGGGGCAAAAGAGATTTTTCCGGCATCAGTTGGATTAGATTAGGTCAAGGGTCGGCAAACTTTTTAAGGAAAGAACCAGATCGTAAAAAAAATTAGGTTCGGCGAGTCAGGTTACAAACTCGAATAGGTATATTTTTTAATAGGTACTGTACTTCTACTCAAAGCAAATGCAATTTGATAACACTATAACCCTTAAGACAATGGTGCCATCTGAGATAAGACTGGCCGTGCCATCTCCATTTGATTTAGTTGCAATTTTTCCATATAAATATAATACAATATTAACCCGCGGGCCTGATTGAAAACAGGCGACGGGTCGTAGTTTGCCAACCCCTGGATTAGGTTATGGACTTTAGTAGACAAAATAGATCAGAAATTATGTTACGTCGCCTTGACAAGCACCCATGCCGCATAGCAATTTGAATGATGTAATATGACGTTAAAGTTATGAATGGCGAACCACAACTCTTTAAGGACATTTTATGGACTGAAAGAAATGGAATGGAATGTTTAACTGTCACGTTGTTACTACTGGGCAGAACATGCTCCTTGAGGTATGCGACACCAACAAGAGAGGATTTAGGGAGTGCGCAGGGCACAGCTGCACTCTTGTTCTGGAGTTTTTCCGATTAAAGCCGGGTACCTCAGATAATTAAACATTTGTAAGGCATATTGTTTCCATTCTGCGCCATCTCTAAAGACTTCTGAGTCGCTATTGGACACTAAGTGCGTTTTACCTTAAACTTCTGCGGCTGGATGGCAGAAAGGTTAAAGTGTCGGTCGAACGGTTAAGATGTCAGCGTACCGCTTTAGGGAACCCGGAAATGAATTTCGACAAGTTGAAAATTCCAGGAAATTTTTCGAGGTGATCCGTCCTGATATGTCGGCTCTTGTCACTCACCATCCACCTTCTATTTTGAACGTGCTGAACCCGTAATAAAACTTGCTGAACCCGAATTCTCTCAATAGAAAATACGTACTAGTAGACGAAAAAATTTATATTATTTCGTAAAAAGACTTTAAGTTGCCGAATCGGTAATTTTTAAATGTAAAAATAAAAATTTTTTAAAGTAAAACGCTGTGCAGGATCCTTATCAATACCGATTTCAATGGGACAGACATAACTCAGATGACATACAGATTTCTTTTATTGATTTATGTTACAATTATGCATTTCGAGCAAATAGACCTAGCTGGACCCTCTTCAGATCATTATACAGCATTGTTGTATTTCGACATTTTGATAACATTTAACTTTAACTTTAAACTTATTTTTAAACTAAATATTATTATAATTCTTTAAATTATTCCACGATACAATTATATTTCTTTACAAAAATTAACTCGAATCAATCGTGCAGTTCTGAAATCAAGAACAGCGTCTTTTCATTATCGCAAGCTCAATGGCTGGCTTTAACACGCTGTGGTGCTAGTTTTTGTATCAGTTCATTATTTGAAGAAAAAGAATGATTCCATCAAATAATAATAGTGTCCTAGTAAATCTTAAAGCATTTTTCTTCCTTTCTCAATGAAACCTTACTTTCTCAAATTCACAGATATCCAAATTCGCGCGTATACTGTTTGGCAGCAGCATAAAATTTCAAACGCTCATAACTTCCGATATGTGCATCTTTCGAAAAAATATTTTAGATAGAAGTTTGTATATTTTTGATGTAGATCAGAATATACAATAAAAGAGTTTCCATTTATGAAAATGAAGTTGATCTCATTTCTCCCCGATTGTAGTGTCATCTATAATGAAAACGATAGCCTCATCTTGTGCCCCCCCTTGTGGTCTAACATTTTCGGTTCAATGAGTATTTTTTTTTTTTTTTTGTAGGACGCGTATTTATAACAGTTCCATTTCCAGCAGCGGAACTTGATTTCCCACCTCTAGTGTGTGAGGGGCACAATGTTTTCATCCACTTTGAAGCTTAATAATTTCTGTGCTTTTTGTCGAAAATTTCTGAAATTTTGCAGGGAGGTTTGTTTATAAGGAGGATTGATGCTGTTAAGTTTTGGAAATTAAAGATCAAGGGAGTGGAGAGATAGAGGGGGTCGTGTGTCATATCTCGAGTATGGTCAAACGTAATGACCGTATTCGATTTTACCTGTTATTAGCATTTACAACTTTTTTATAAAACCGACCCCTACCTTTAAGCTTTATGCCATTTTATAATAGTTATATTTTTAAAAGTTTTTATATTTTTAAGAGATAACGCCACCAAATGTTGACTGAAAAGTTAAGCAACTCGTTGCTGGGATTTTTAATCTGTTCTTCAAGCCATAACTGAGATGTAAGTAAATCAAAAACAATTTATAATTGGCTACTTTAATATAGACTTGAAACATAATTCTACTAAGGCTCAGGAAATGATCCAGTTTTCAATTATTAATTAATAATTTCAAAATAGCAGATTTCGATTTCTAATCCACGATGGCCGGAACCTCCGTCTTTGTTAGATTATGCACTAACAAATCTGGAGACAGTTGTCGATGAACTAATAGCTGACTATTTACCTCTATTGGTTTTTTTCTCAGAAGAACCACATGGGGAAAAATAATTCGATACTTATCGGAATTTAAATACAGTAATTTACCATATGTAGTAAATTCCGCGCAAGTTTAGTTTTTGTCTGAACGATTCAATTAAACAGATCATAGTATTATGTAATGAATGACCACGTTTTACTTTTTTTTTACTAATTTTTACATAGCTTCTCGTCCGAAAATTTTGTCGATATCGTTGATTTTGTACTTATTTTAGAGTTAATGTACTGATTTAAATCAAATCTGCAATATTGTTAACGGAAAAGTAATTGACACAGGTAGTTTGTGATTTTCCGTTAGATTACTTAGCCAATAATTCACTAATCGTAAATTGTATTTCAATCAATGGTGTAAAGTTCGCAAATTAAACGTCGTGTCAACACCGCCACTCAATATTTTAGCATTCATTAAGATTTTCAAATGATAGGATGACCGTAATTTCTTGATGTCAAAACGGGACAATGAAGCCACAGCTAATAAATAGAGATCCTCTCTTGTTAAAATTCCTCCAAGAAATGTAGATAAGCGTTATTAATTATTTGTTACTATATTATTGGTAACAGTCATTTAGTAACGTAAAAAAATGTACAAATTTCAAATAAGCATTTTTTAAACAAATTATGAGTTTGAATTGCAATACACAAATGTGTTTAATATACAAACTGGATGAAAAAACGGAAAAATGAAATTTTACTAAAACGGCACGTACAGTATAAAAGACTGTACACATAGGAAGTCTATCACTAAACGGTATAAGCTCCATACTCGCGGTTTGGTACAGGAAATTCTCTTTAATTCGAATTCGGACAGTTCGAAATCACGTTAGCTCGTAACTGCTATTTGTCCTGGTCGGGGATATAGAGATTTACGTTAAGAAATTCGGTTAGTTCGAAATTCGAAGTAAAAGCAGTCCTATTGACCAGATTATAGTTATTTTTGGTCTATTGTTTTCTTATAGTATGGAGGCACTTGATCTAAAACGAGTTAATCTACGTTAACCTATCATCGAAATGTGACTTTTCTTTTATAGTAACGCATTTTCGGGTGTCACCTTATCCATAGAATATCCTTTTTCTTTCGTCTCATAAAATACAGCTGGGCATGATTGGGCTGTAAGTGGCATATTTAGATATTTGTAGTAGGGTTTGGACGACTTTAAAAATAATTTAGGCTTTACTCGTTATAAAACGAGTAAACGAGTCTAGCAACCTGTGGTTNAAATAATTAGATATTTTTAACATACAAAATTCTAATTAATACTGTATATACTGTATATATATGTTGATAGTATTAATATATTACACATTATTGCACAATTGTTACAGAAAAAGAAGCAAATAAGAAATTTTTATACTTAGTTTTGTCCTGTGGACACTAAGAGAGGCCACTCAGCCACCTCATTGTATTCAAAATTAATTGCTTAAAAAATTTCTGGTGTTCTTTGCTTGCCTGGTTTCCATCCTGTCCCCCAGAATGGCATCTTTACCATCTTAGATATCTAGTCATCTTTTATACTTGCTTATGCAATACAAATTCCAATTTGTACTGTATTTACTCACATTAACAGCTCTCTATAAATTTGATAAGTTACAATTCATAACAGATGACAAACATCTGATGATGAGGTGTCCCTTATCATCAGATGCACAGATATGAGTAGATATGCGCGGATCATTACATCTTTAATAGATAAATAAATCTTTGTGTGTGAAACTTCTTGTTTTGAAAAAGTTTAATAAAAATAGATTTAAATAACAGGCTTGTTAACATGAAATCACAGAATAACTATTAAATTAAGTCAATATTTCAATCAAATTAATTATTATGTAGAGTAGAAATTTTAATATTATTTCCCATTATTGCATTTAAAATGTAAATTGAAATGTTAACTATAACACTAACATTTCATTCCAATTTTAACATTGACAGCATTTTAATGTTTATAGTTTGATAAATTTTTGTATCACATCTCAGGCTTCATTTCTTATAAAATCATATAATTTGCTTTTATTTTGTGTTTTTCTCATCTTAAATTAGCTTTTCTCTTTTGTGAAAAAAGAAACATTAAAAAAAATTAGCTCAAAAGTATGATAAAAGTTTGATCATCAGATAATATTATGTCTTATTAAATATTTTCATGAACAAAATGAAATTAATTTTTTGTGCATGTTTCTTTTGTGTGATTTTACCTTTTGATAATTTCTGTTGATATTAATCAATGTTTTTAAAATACATTTCTGAATTCCCCAACAATCAATTAAATTTAATAATCATTGCCTTATGTAATAATTCACGATGCAATTTATATTTTAATAAAAAGTAATCAAATGATTTTTGTGATTTTATTTACCGTTACAAAAATTATATAAATTAAGAATTATATAAGAAATGATAAATTTCATAATTTCTTACTTTGTTTTAATGTCTAGAACTAAAATTACTCCTTCATTACTTTGATCTATCATGGAATCAAATTTATGGGCAATAAATAATGTGTCTATGTCACAGTAGTTGTTCTCTGAAATGAGAATATTCATAAATTAGAATTCTTAAAGAATATAATTCTTTTATAGTAACGCATTTTCGGGTGTCACCTTATCCATAGAATATCCTTTTTCTTTCGTCTCATAAAATACAGCTGGGCATGATTGGGCTGTAAGTGGCATATTTAGATATTTGTAGTAGGGTTTGGACGACTTTAAAAATAATTTAGGCTTTACTCGTTATAAAACGAGTAAACGAGTCTAGCAACCTGTGGTTATTATCGCTGACCAGAGAAATTTTTCGAATTGGAGTGAATGTCTTTAGTGGATTATACTTTCATCCCCAAGAATGACGATAATGTTGACGTCATAAGCGTTATGGCTAACGTTAATGTCAAAAAACGTGCCTCTTATCACGCAGAGCTATGTTGACACTTTAGCTCATATGACTTCGGGGATGTTGGAAGTCTGTGCTTTATATAAAACGACGTAATATAAGAATTTTTATTGAATTCAGAGGACCACGACATGCTTCGTATTGCATATTAACCGAACTTGTTAACATTGAAATGTCTATCTACTTCCCTGTAACCGCAAATCCGCATAAACCGATGCTGTCTATCAATTTCGGTACAATATGGAATTGTACCTTAAATCTCCCTTATTTTGAGTATTCTTTCTATATATTCGAGTTATTATTATTATATTCGAAACAATTATGACGACAGTGATTATATTTAATTAACTTTTAGGTCTTCCACAGTACGTCACAAATTTCTATTCGAAAAGTTCGGAGGTAATTTAGAAGCCTTTTCCTCTAAATTCGTAAAAGCAGAGCCGTCTAACGCAAACACATTTTGCATATTTAAACATTGTAATTTTGATTTTCACGAAGGAAAAAAATGTTCGAAGATAATCTCAAAATGGTGAGGCAATGGAAGACAGTCAATTTTCTCATTAACGGCTAAATGATTATTTAATTTCGTTGTATGGAATTCTTACAATTTGTTGTTAATTATTGTAACATGTATATATATTTAATATTAAATGTAAATATATTAATTTATTTAATAAATTCAATTTGAATAATTTTAATAAAATTACAAATACATATTATTTACAACAATGTTGATCAAGAAGGAAACAGATTTAATTTGTTTATATTTAATTTCAAATTTGCAATAATCCAACTTGGAAAAGCCCCTTTACTATAATCTCTACAAAACCTGAAAAAAGATATCTTAATTTTATTATGGAATAAACATTTCTAAAAATAATTAGATATTTTTAACATACAAAATTCTAATTAATACTGTATATACTGTATATATATGTTGATAGTATTAATATATTACACATTATTGCACAATTGNTGTGACCTTTGGCTATTTCTCAAGCTGAAAATGCCGCTAAAAGGAACCCAAATTTAGTCGAGAGAAGACATCATGCGAAATGCGACGGACCGGCTGATAACCATTTCAAAAGATGCGTTCCAGCAGTGTTTCCAGCAATGGCAGGAACGCTGGGAGAAGTGTATACACTACCAAGGAGACTACTTTGAAGGGGATTACGGTTTTGTACCTCAAAATCAATAAATGTATTTTTGCCGACCAAAGGTCCGATACTTTTTGAACAGACCTCGTAACATTGTTCTTTCTGAATGTAGAGTATAATCTCCATAAATATCTTAATTCTTTTGCCTAAATTTTATTTAGATAAAAATAAATAAAAACAATTAAAGATTGGATATAGTGTCCACTCATTATTTTTCAGTAAGAAATAACAAAAGATTTGGTTAAATTTAACGAGACATTAAACAAGTAATTTTTTAAAATACAATATAACCTCGGTTAACGAACTTAGTCCATTTTGTGACTTCGTCAACCAAAGTAATTTTTCCCATAGAAATTAATGCAAATACAATTTATCCATTCCAGCAGCAGGTATTTACGTAATTTTATTTGTAAAATGGGTTTTCTTTGATGAAAATATAGGAAAACATGCTCATAAACAGTCAATCTAAGTTAAATTTTTGGAAAAGGGGAAAGATAAGAACATCGCATATGATCGTTAAAGTTCCAAAATGACCATCACATACACTGAACCAATTTATGGTGTGGTACGATTGATTAACAAGTACAAAAACAAACGTTTTCAAATCCCTTCTGGTCTCTTCATCAGGTTCCTACAGTTTTAGCTCATAAAATTCAATTATCGAATGCTTTTCAAATAACTTCGTTCTTGAGTTCGAACGGTTCTTTTAAATTTATATGTCGCGCATGTGTGACAAGTCTGCCTGCTCAGATATAATGAGCGGCTAAAGCATGCTGTGTATCAACTCTTGCCAGGCCATCAACAAAATCATCTCCTCTTTAAAATTTATGCACGTAGTTTCAATAGAGGATTTAAAGATGTGCATCGCCTCTAACCACTTGAGATGTTCATTGGGAGGCACCCCATTTTTTTCCAAAATGACAGATAGCAGAAACAACGGGCTAAATTATGAGCACAAGGCTTATAGGTTTATCAACAATCTCTGATCGGACTCAGCGAACAGGTGTCAAATAGATGGCAGCGAGGAATGGGATGCAGGACCAATCAAAAGGTGAGATTCAAGGAAAAAATATCAATACTATAAAAACCCCAAATCTCAAGGTCAAAACGCAGTTCTCTTAAAAATTCTACAGAAATTTATCTGTATTGTCTTCATCTGGATTAAGCCTGAAGTTGTGCCCACTAAAATTTGTGTTGTGTCTTGCAGACCGCTTCAGTCACCGTAGCTCCATCACCTACCATCGCTTCTGTGACCAAGTGAACCCATCTCATTTGCTCCAGGGCTACGACTGATCAGCTTGCACTATCGTAGGACCAGCAATACACTCACTGGTCCTCAGTGCCAGGAAAAAATACTGTAGATAAACCATTTCCAACTATCTCAAATATGTAAGCATCTTCGCGTTCTAATAAATGATTTTCACTGTAAAATACTTGTCATCTTTGTTTCCTCTGCCACCACCAACATATGAATGGATCCTAGACCATCTCTGGCATGCGATTAACTGATTCTTCCTAAAAGTCAGCAAGCTTACAAATTTGACACAAAAAACTGTTAAATTCATTATCCGAGACAAAATTTTTGCAAAATAGAAGTTCATTAATCAATTTGGTCATTTACCAGGGCATTCATTAACCAGGGTTCCACTCTATGTTTAACATTAATTGAATATATTTTCATTCTAAAGTAATGGTAAATTACAATTGGTTGAATTTTATAATTAAGAATTTTGTTCAAATAATTAACATACAGTAGAAACTCAATTATCTGAATTTGAAGGGACCAGAGGTCTTTTTGATAATCCAGAAACTCATTTGTTTTAGTGTTTTGGGTACATCAAGCACTCTGCATTTAATATTAAATTAACTTGCTCAAAATATCTAATGTTACATGTATATGACTTACTTTTGCAGTGCTACAAGCAACAGATGAGATAGTAATTTCCACTTATATGGAGAGTTTGTCTCTGTGTATTATACTATATGGTTTTTACAACATTACACATTCTAGGTCTTTTTTATTTTTTTGGAAATCATTTTGGATAATCAAAAAAACAAAAATTTCAGAAAAATTGTTTTCATTGTTATAATACTATTTCATGATTATTATCTCTTGCACAGAACAATATAGAGGTCATTCCCTTCGATAACAATGTTAACTCTTGTAAGCTGTAATTGTTTGAAAGCTTACAAATTCATAAGTTATCTATTGGAATTATCTCTGTATATTAGATAGAGTTGCTAATATATATTATAATATGTTTAACCAATAATTATTCCAATAATTATTGGTTAAACATATTATAATATATATTATATGACATATTCTAATGCAATTTTGTATCAGTACTCACAGTGTACCAAGAGAACTGATAGGAAATCAATAACTGAAGTCTTGAATACTACTATATCTTTCAAATAATACTTTTATGATTAGATTTCCCATAATCAGTCATTTTATTGATTTCTTATTTGGAAATTTTTTGATAATACTTTACATTTTATTTTATTTTGGTGCAAGAAATTTGATAAAACAGATTTCCGAAGTAAATTTTCTTGTTATTATATAAATGATATTTAATTCCTTCATGCTCTGTTATGTCAAGAATATTTCTTAACATAACCAAAATAATTTAAGCAACTTTTGATGATATAGAAAAATTGTTGCAAATTATCCACAGCAATCTACACCATCAGCAGAATTAGAAAGTTTCTTAATACACAATCCACAGATTATAGGCAGGACATTATGGTATTATGAAATTTAAACAATTCTCTTTATCCCTTTCAAAAGATTTTAAACATCTCTAAAAATTTATATGTACAGTGTAATTTTAAAGTTTTAATAAATGTATGATTTACCTCCAATACTAGAAAGTTTAACTTCATATGGAATTGCTACTTGAATATCTTCAGGATTTAATATCAACTTCTCAACAGATTTTTCTTTCATTTGATTAATTATATCATCTGTAACTTTATGAAAAGACTAAAAAAATTTTAAATTAAATTTATTTTAAAATTCATTCAAGTAATACATTTATTAACAAAATATTTAATCACAGTTTCCTCTGCAAACGAGATTAAAACTAATTAAAATACTACTATTTATTTAAGATATGTCAATGAAAATATGAAAGAAATGCACATGCAGTAAATCCATGCTAACTTGGATGCTGCCAACTCAGTTTTTGCATAAATCAGACTTATTTTTTGAAAAACTGCACAGTAATTTAAAATTTCTTGACAACAGAAAAATTACTTGTTTTCAATCATTATAATTAGTTTTAATTTATGAGTAATTAAAATAAATTTATAATTAATGAGTATTTTTGATATCCAGAAGTCTTTGAGATACTGTTTGTTATATTACTATAGTCAGTGAGTAACTAAAGTTTTCATTGCTGTCTACCTATACCGTCATAAAATTTTTCGAGCTCATTTCCTGAAATAATAAATTTAGCAGTATAAACTACTAAAGCTCAGTAAACTTTTGTATAGAGCTGATCATGCTCTTTACAAAAGTTTACAGACTTTCATAAACATGGACAATCTTCACCACCAATTAATCCCAGCTATTGTGGGTTTACTATATAAATACTTCAAAAACAAGTCTAGAAGCTTTTTGGTTTTAGTATAAATGAAATGTTTTGATGAATATAAAACATACTTATAATCAGTAGAAAGTTAATTCCAATTCTAACTTTTTAATCCTAAAAACATTTAACTAATTATCATTCTTTTTCAGTAAGAAATACAGTTATTGTTCCAAAAGATAAGAATTTTATAATCATGGATCAAAATTGTATATACATTGTTATCTTTATACCAGATATTCAGTAAAATATGTACCATAGGATTGCCTGACGAAACAACAATAACCTGAATTGTGCCATCCACCATAGCAAAAAACAGGATTTTCTGTCATTTTTTTCAATATTATGAAAAGTATTGACTGTTGAGCATTAATGCCTTAAAGATCTTTTTTTCTATTAGGAATTGTTTCTCACCAGTAATATGGCAGATGTTGTGTATGCTGCTGTATATTACATTAGCTAGATGGAAAAAACAGAGGCTAGATGGAGTGTTTTAAGTTAGATTGATTGAAGAGGCTAGATTGATTGGAGTGTTTTAAGTTGGATGCCACATTTTCAGCCATTTTAGGGAAGGACTATCACACTTCAACAAAGTAGTTTTGGTCAAATAAAACATTTTCTTTGAGCAACACTTTCCAGATTATTTTAATCACTAACTTTTTGGTAAATTGGTTGCTTTTCCAACATTTTACATCAATTTTTCCTTCATCTCAACAAAGCAGCACGAAATAAAATGTAATTATTTAAAGTTTTTTGTAATGCTCTGTTTTTTCCACAGTTTGCATAACATACTTCAGATACATCTGCCATATTGTCAACAAGAGAAACAATTGTTAATAGAAAAAAAAATCTGCAACACATTAATGTACAACAGTCAAACGTTTCTACATAATATGGAAAAAATGATAGAAAACCTTTATTTTGTGCTATAGTGTGCATAATTCTTACTTCATAAGGTACTCCCATGGTGCATTTTTTACCAAATACCTGGTATATATAAATTAATATTTGTATATTATAAAGATAAAGTGAAAGTAAACAAACAATCCAAGTTGAATTATTTTCAGTATTATAAATATTACATCAATCTAGTATTAATAATAAAATATATATCATCAGAATAATTTTGACAATTAGCATTAGACTATTGACTTATAAATTTTGAAATCAGAAGCTTATCTAGAATCAACATACAGCATAGAAATCTGTTTGCTGAATTCAATTTTTAAATAACATTTTTTACTTAGTTTCATTATCCAGAAAATATTAAGTAAAAATTATCACTGAATATCTATGTATTAATTGAAACAGGGTTTAAGTTTGTCTGACTTAGTTTGAGTAAATAGCTGAGGCTAAAATAAAGTTCAGGTATCAGATTAAAGCTTTTGTCCCTGCTGAAGAGAGATTTAGTAAAAACACAATTATTCAGGACTAGAGATGTGGCAAAGGTATAATGTTAAGTCTAAGGGACAAAACAAGTCAGACACTCACTTACCCATATAGTGATTTAACTTTTTAAAACTATTCCTTGATTTTTGCCTTATTTTTTAACAATAGTAAATTTAAATAAAACTAGCTGCATGTGCCCAGCATTGCATTCCCCAAAAACTTGGGAGGGTGGAAGATTGGTGAGGTTGAGTTGAGAGAGAATGATAACAATTCACACTAAATTTGGCGTGAACATTCTTCAAAACCTTAGAAAAAATACTGTGGGAGTTCCATTCCCCCAAATACTGATAAAAACCACGATGTTAACTTTAGCTTGAGCAATTTTTTGTGTTTTGCAGTTTAATTATTGTAAATACTCAAGTCAATAAATGTACATTTTACTTACTAAGACCATTGTTTTTATCATCTCCCAACTCAACCTCACCAATCCTCCACCTTCTCAAATCCTGAGCAATGCCAGGCACATGCAGCTAGTTTTATATAAATATCAAATAGTAAAAAGAGGACTTTCATTTAATTGCAGAATTCATTTACTAAAACATTCATGTGCATGTTTTCTTTAAAAAAAACTATAGATTTGAATAAAGTAATTAAATTGAATAAAATAATGAAATATGGCATATAAAAAACTTACTGACTGTTCAATAAGACCTTTCAAATCATCAAAATTTTTCTGAGATGTTAAATTTATCACTGTGCAAGCTGCCTGAAACAAAAAAAATACTTAATTAATTTTATAGTTTGAGAATATTTATTTAAAATAATTCAACGTTACACTATCTGGAATCTGTGACCGGTGCTTCACACCGTATACTATGCCAGACCAGAGTCAAGGCATAGCAACCAAAATAAAACTAAAATTAAATAAATGTGTCAGTGTCTGTATTCAGGAATTTCCTAACAATATGGCATGTATTCAATATAGTGGCCTTCTGTAGTGTTATGTATGTATTTCTGTTCAATTGTAATGTTCCCAGGCTTTTGTGTAGTGTGTGGGGTATCACACCTGTACAGGAGAGATACCCCACACAGGTACAATAAGCACCCTATCCATCCTCTACAGATGCCTTAGTTCCTGGGCGAGTTCTGTGTACTTGCTAATTTTTTCAGTGCATGTGTTTTGTACATTATGAGTGTCTATAATGGCTATGTCTATAATGTATGTGATTTTATTGTGTTTGTCAATGAGTGTGATGTCTGGTCTGTTGTGGTAAATTGTTTTATCTGTGATTATGGCTCTGTCGTNTGTTTGGAATGGCTATGTCTATAATGTATGTGATTTTATTGTGTTTGTCAATGAGTGTGATGTCTGGTCTGTTGTGGTAAATTGTTTTATCTGTGATTATGGCTCTGTCGTAATACATTTTGTGC